ACACGCTGTCCAAGGTAGCCCAACCAATAATGCCCGTACTAGGCAATAATACACTTCCAGTTGCACCCAGAGGCACCCCAACCCTAACCGCGTTGTCGCCCGCTCCTCCTTGAACTCGGTCCCGGGTCTCCATCGTCCCGCTTAGACCGTATAGCCATGGGCGACGCCTGGCCAGCCGTGTTTACCCTCCTCCGCTGCCTAGGCGGTGCCTCCTCGCCCTGCTCCTCTGCCTCTCCCTCCGCATCCTCTTCCCCTTCCTCGCCTTCGTTCTCCTCCATAACACGTGGCTTAACACCCAAGCTATTGTGCAGCTGTCTCTCCAACGCTTCTCCAGCAGCCTCCCCATAGACAGTTCGCACTACCCCAGCGATAGCTTCATTGTCGACCTCGACTTTTCCTCTTGGCCCTACATACCACGTCACCTCTTCCCCATCCTCGCCACTAGACTGCTTGACCAGGTATCCCTGTCGTATCATGCGCTGCAGCACAACCTCGGTGTTCTCGGACGGTTGATGTCGGTTATTGGGGTTCATGCTCGGCACTGTGCTGTCGGCATTCAGCCGAGTGAGGTACTGGTGGAACTTTGCGTCGCGGATCTCGCCCCCGGCCAGGGTGATGATGGCTATCAGCAGCGTGTAGAAGCCGGCGTAGGCGGCTTCGCCGTCGGATGACTGGACCTTGGAGGGGGCTATTATCTTGGGGGTGCGGAATTCGGGGGGTAGGATGGTGATGAGGATCCACGCGTTCGTGCTGGCTTTTGTAGCTGGCCCCGAGGACTTTTGGGATTTGGCCGCTGTGATGAGGAAGGTCAGAATGGCGCAGACATATAAGGAGTGCCGAAGATGTAATGGCATTACCTTTCCTCTTCTGGTCCAGCGATAGGAGTGACCTATCCTTGCTAGGCTGCTCTACCAGTTGCATGCCGAATATCGTTCTTAGTTGTGTTTGGGCGAGGTCGAAGACGACTCGGAAACTGCGCATGGACTCTCCTTCGTAGACTGCAAACAGGACGACGTGTCAGCAACCCGTTGTTCTTCGTGGCTGCAGTCAGATGATACACACCTTTCTCCCTGACCGCCTCTCTCCTCACCGGCGTCCTCGAGTACTCGCAGGCAATGGCATATCGCACGAGTTTGTGGGCAAGCCGTCTCTCCATGTTAGTTTTGCGGCCTTGCGACCGGCCACCCTGTGCCTCTTCCTCGGATTCATCGTCTGGCTCTTGCGGGCGCTTACCCTTGGCACTCTTCCGGCGGTTCTGTGGCTGTTCGTCTCCTGTGTCTTCGTCGGCCTGGAGAGAAGCGCTACAGTCAGCTGGAGGTCAAGATTTGCTATGCGAGATTGGCACCTTACTGCGTCTCTCCTCCGTCTTCCGGGCGCCATTTTCCTATCTGCTTGTTCGAATGCTTGCTTGTCTAACAATAAGGTAGCTCGATGGAGAAAAAGAGTTGGTCAATGTGGTGTAACGTGATGCAAAGATGTTATTTGACGATTCAGTAGTCTAGCTGATAGAGCGACGGAACTATTGTCGGGGATGTCCGTTCGCCTCTGCAGTGTCGTCTGACATGTGTTGAATCTTCATGCACACACGGTAGGTGCACTGCAAGTCCGGAACTTAACGCGACTTCCTGCACTATTGGACGCGTCGAGGTCCGTTGCCCAGATGGCTGACTCAGCAGACTCGACTTAAACTTTCCTAGCAGTCCTAGCACGGGCAGGCAGGGGTCTCTCTCTCTTATCGATAAGGAATTGGCCGTGAAATTTCCAAGAAGATTGCTTTCGAGCATCGAGGGAAGAAGCTACGATGCTGTGTTGGAGAGGTCTTGACAGCAAGGCCTAGGTTTTCTTTTCTTTTGTTTCTCGATGCTCTCACGACGGATTACGGGCGGCTTCGTGTGCTTAAGATGCCAACTATCGCTCGCCACCCGCAGTAGAACCCGACCCAGTCCTCTTCGAAGCTTCAATACCACCATCACCGTCCACAATGCGCCCAGCCGCAGCTACTCCGATTCTCCGGAAAAGCCGACCTGGAAAGGGCGCCTTCCGATAGACGAGCCTATAGACGACCGTCAAGAAGACCCTCGGCAAGGAGTCTCCGAACAGCATGCTGGAGCCAGCGAAGAGATCGACTGGATGAATCGAGCGCGTCGCAACCAGGCCGAAGACACTCAAGGCACCCACGAAGGAGGGAACAGGGCGGAGGATGGACCGCTCTACAGGCATATACGCGTCTCTAGTAAAGGACAATCCCGCTCTCACCCACGGGCTCTCGCTCCGCTGAAGACCGGACCCGAGTTCTATACCGCAAAGGGCCAGCGGCTGAAACCAACAAACCGATCACTACCAATTGACATCCTCGGAAAACCGGGCCACGCCCTGGTCTTGCGAGATGCCGGTCCGAGGCGCAAGAAGGAGCTAGAGCAGATGGCCCCGGACAAGCCGTCGGACTCGGCATCGCCTATGAGCCTGGCCAAGATCTACGCGTCGACCCAGGTCGATGTCCCGAGCTCCGCCGAGGTCCTGCAAAACATACACGAGCTGCAGCCGGCCGAGCCGGTCCTGTCGCGGCGCAAGTTTGAAGCGCTGAAGAAGACGCTCTACAAGGGGTTCACCAAGACACAGCTGGCGGCGTACATACACAGGTCGTCGGTAATGGCCAAGAATAAGGACAAGATAACCCAAGTTAGACCTTGGGTGTTGGAGAAATGGCCATGGACGCCCGAGGTTGACACCTATTGGGGGACGGCCGATGCACTGCTACAGGGCTACGTGTCCAAGACCACGCCTCCGAAGGAAAGGCTGGCGACTGCTTTGATGCGTCAGTGCTGGGGGCTGGGCATCCAGGAGCTCCAGAGCCAGCAGGGGTACTTGGATGTTAAGGTGCAAGACCTTCAGTTCGATCTTCTGATGCGTATGTGAGCCCTGGATCCCTGCTAGTTGGTGTGAGGTCGCTAACGCTGAGCGTAAACAGTTGGAAACCGACGCTGGCTCGAATCCATATCCAAATCCCTCTTCGAACCAGGCACGCAAATCGAGCTGATCCGGTCGGAAAAGGTAGTCCGCATCGTCGCTCCGAAAGTGACCGCGGAGCTCATACTCCAGGAAATAAATGCACTGCTCGACCAAGCCCATACAAGACTACTGGATGCGACGCAAATCGGCCCCAGACGGCTCGACCAGTCCGTCCTCGACGAAGTCGGCAAAATCACCAACACGGTCGTCCGCTACGACAAGTCCGGAAAGAACATCCAGGTGTCCTGGATTACATCTCCCGAGAACCAGCGCGAGGGCCTTGAGGATCTCGCGGACGTCACCTACCGCCTCCTGTACTCGGCGTATAGCCACAAACAACTAGGTGATGCTACAACCGAGGTGCAGCCAGAACAGTACGAGGTCGGCGGCTGGTATCTGCCCGACTACCACAGCAAGGGTAAGCTGGCCTGGAAAGACCGGCTCGCAGAATGGGCGAGGTGGACGGTCGCTATTCCGCGTCGCGGTGTCATGCCGACAGTCCCCATCAAGATCCTTTCAGACGATCTCCCGTGCCGCAACCTGGACACGACTCCCTCCCGCTCCTTCGCCCCAGACGGCTGGTCCTCCGAGCCTCAAGTCACAACAAAAGCCGTCTTCGGCCACGTGCTCCACCGCGAGCCTGAGCCAAACTTGAAAGATAGCCTCCGAGGCGAGATATCAAAGGCTAATGTCACGCCGGGAAAAAGCCCTGCCTCTAAAAAAGGCAGCCGTATCCACGACAAGCTCGACCGGCATCTCGACCGGACGCTCTCGCCGATCATCCCGCCTCTCAAGTCCCTCGCCGCCCTCACAGCCAACAGCGAAGCTACCGCTACACAGACATCAATCCTGCTACATTTCCTCCCGACACTGGCCAACTCCTCCCTCCCATCCCTGGAGTTGACCTTGCTCACGGACCCGGACACAAACACCGTCACCCCTCACTCGCTCCGCGCCACCTCCCGCGTAGCAACGCACGACATCCTCCTCCCCTCTCACGCAGTCGACATCCGCCTAACAAACACAACCTCCCACCTCCTCCCGGGCTCCTCCGTCCCCTCCGCCTGCCCGGAACTAATGACCTTCCTCTCATCCTCCGACCTCCGTCCCCAAGAAGGCATCCTCTCCACACCCCCGAGGCCACCGCCCTTCCGCCTCCCGTCCCGCATCCTCTCCTCCCCACCCACCTCAGACTCCTCGACAGAAGCATCCTACATCTTCACCGGCCTCGAGCTCCACCGGCACGTCTCAACCTCCGTCGAGGGCTGGAAGCTCTCCTACACCTCCATCGAAGCCGGGCAGGGCGGCGGCCGGCGCGCCGAGCTGGCGCTCGAGGGCATCCGCACCGCCGACGACGTCGACGAGAGGGGGATGCCGCTGACGGCGTTCGATAAGTTTGAGCGCGGTGTGGGGCAAGGCGGGGAGAAGACTTCTGCTCTTCCGTCGGTGGCGGAGGGGCAAAGGGGAGCGGAGCACTACATCGAGACGCTGTCGGGGCTGGCTTTCGGACGGGAGTTCAGCTGGTTTGGGGAGATGCCGGAGAGGGAGAGGGGAGATGGAGACGCGCTGGAAGGTCGAGGGCCGGGGAGGGATGGCGAGATATAGGATATTGTAGGATATGGAAGAGAGATCTAGATGTAAAATAGTTGTATATTTGTACTGTGCACATGTACATTTGAGTTGTGTCCTCACTTTGTTGTTCACGGCATGTCGTGACACCGAGATAACGCTCATGACTCGCGCTTTCACGCAACACACATAATTCCATTGCTCCACGGAAATCCTTTAGCCCACTTGGTATTCTATGTTGATTCAGAGACTGTGACAAGAACATGTCTGCTCCTAGCACAAGCACACCACCACACGACTGACAAAAAAGGGGGGATACATCAGCGCACGAAAGCGACACATCCTCCACGTAGCTCTCAGGCGGCCAGCTCCCGTCTCGTGCCAAAAACAAGCCCGCCCCAGCCACACAGCAAAAGTAAGCGTGGAGAAGCTGGGAGTCGAACCCAGTACCTCGTGCATGAGCCGTCAGACATGCTAAGCACGCGCTCTACCAGATGAGCTACATCCCCCAAGTGCCCCGGCCGCGTGGCCAGGATCCCCGGTATGGGGTCAGCCCTGGCCGAGTGGTAGAAGACACGGTGGTGTGGTGTGGTGACGGCAGGGTTGAGGAGCGTCCCAGGCTGCTCACGGACTGATGGCTGCCAACTCCAGTCTTCAGACAGGCCTTGCGGCTCAGACAGACGGAGGTTGACACACTGCAGGCCCAGTTGAAGTCAGGAGGCCTTGCCTGTTGCAACCGACGCCTGACTTGAGTCTCAGTCACCGGCGGACGATATGAACCTTGTATCACAGCGGAGGGTACTTGGAGGCTTCGACCAGAATCTCAAGGAGACCCAGATAAAGCAGACCGAAGCTGTGATGGCACCGAGGTCAACGAGGAGGGCAGAGTGCCAGGTACAATACGGTATCTGGATAGCCTCATCTCACAATCTGGAACGAAGCCAAGGAACGTGGCATGGTCGAAGCTGTCAAAATCACTCGGGAACAGGTTCACGTAACGATTCCGCATTGCAATGCGGTTACAGCATGTCAAGTCACAGATGCAGGAGGAGCTTAGTGTTGGGGGAATCACTTTCTAAGAGGACTCTATTTTGCTAAAGCACATGAGAAGTTTTGATTCGCAGAAAACCCGGACCGTTCCTCTCAAAGATGTGCCCCAAAACCAGATTGCCATGAGTACTCAAGTAAAGTAAGGGAATTCGTGTTGGCGGAGTCGCAGGGGACATGCGACGTTGTGATCCTCCAAGAACCCATCCACGCGACGCCGGAGGGCCATCAACAACAGACGGGAGAGACAAGCGTCAAGACACTTATTTCTTGGTGGCCTTGGCAGCGGACTTGGTGACCTTGCCGGAGGTGGGGAGGGCCTTCTCGACCGACTTGACGACACCGACAGCGACGGTTTGACGCATGTCACGGACGGCGAAACGACCGAGAGGGGGGTACTCGGCGAAGGACTCAACGCACATGGGCTTGGACGGAATCATCTTGACGATGGCAGCGTCACCAGACTTGATGAACTTGGGGTTGGACTCGGTCGACTTTCCGGTACGGCGGTCGATCTTCTCCTGGATCTCGGCGAACTTGCAGGCAATGTGGGCAGTGTGGCAGTCGAGAACCGGGGCGTATCCAGCACCGACCTGACCGGGGTGGTTCAGGACGATGACCTGGGCGGAGAAAGAAGCGGCGCCCATGGGGGGGTCGTTCTTGCTGTCACCGGCGACGTTGCCACGACGGATCTCCTTGACGGAGACGTTCTTCACGTTGAAGCCGACGTTGTCACCGGGGAGACCCTCCTTGAGCTGCTCGTGGTGCATCTCGACGGACTTGACTTCAGTGGTGACGTTGGCGGGAGCGAAGGTAACGACCATACCGGGAATGAGCTTTCCAGTCTCGATACGGCCGACGGGCACTGTTCCAATGCCGCCGATCTTGTAAACATCCTGAAGGGGAAGACGGAGGGGCTTGTCGGTAGGACGCTTGGGGGGCTCGCAAGAGTCGATGGCCTCGAGGAGGGTCTTGCCGGTGATCTCACCGTTCTTGCCCTCCTTCTTCCAGCCCTTGTACCAGGGGCAGTTGGTGGAGGGGGCCAGCATGTTGTCGCCGTTGAAGCCCGAGATGGGGACGAAAGCGACCTGCTTGGGGTTGTAGCCGACCTTCTTGATGAAGGAAGAGGTCTCCTTGATGATCTCGTTGTAACGATCCTCAGACCACTTGGCGGTGTCCATCTTGTTGATGGCGACGATGAGCTGCCTGACACCGAGGGTGAAGGCGAGCAGAGCGTGCTCACGAGTCTGGCCATCCTTGGAGATACCAGCCTCGAACTCACCAGTACCAGCGGCAATGATGAGGATAGCGCAATCGGCCTGCGAGGTACCAGTAATCATGTTCTTGATGAAATCACGATGACCGGGGGCATCTGTTGGGGAAGACATGATTAGCATGCTGCGTCGGCACCCAAAAGATGAGGCTGTCGAGAGGACTTACCGATGACGGTGACATAGTACTTGGGGGTCTCGAACTTCCAGAGAGCGATATCAATGGTGATACCACGCTCACGCTCGGCCTTCAGTTTGTCCAAAACCCAGGCATACTTGAAGGAACCCTTGCCCAACTCGGCGGCTTCCTGTGAGGCTTGTTAGCGCGGGGTTCATCGGAGATAAGCGTGAGACGGATGATGTAGCGTGTGTCATTGGGCGGGACACTGAAATTTTTTGTGGCGGGGTAAAAAAGTCAAGGCGGGGCAGGCTTTGGTTGCCCCTCCCATCAGATCCCACGCCGCCGCGAAAAAAATCAGAGCGAGCAAAAAATGACACCGGTGAGGCCGTGATTAATCAAGGCATCAGGGGGACGCAGGGCGGGAGAAAGGTGTAGATGGGAAAATGAGAACTTGCCTTCTCGAACTTCTCGATGGTACGCTTGTCGATACCACCGCACTGGTAGATCAAGTGACCGGTGGTGGTCGACTTGCCGGAATCGACGTGGCCGATAACGACGACGTTGATGTGAGTCTTCTCCTCCTTACTGCGTAGCTGTCAGTAGACGATCTCGCGAGATGCCAACATCAGGTTGCTCGATGCCAGACCGCGCGCAGGCGATGAAGCCGGCGCGGCAGCCTTGGAAGCATCTGGAGGATCTGACTTACCCCATGGTGACGGTATTGAGTGGTTACTTGTGGAAAGTTGAGAAAGTTTCTGATGAAGAGTTAGATGGTTGCGCAGAAGACGTCGAAGACGATGATGATGAGGATGAGGTTTGGAGGAGGAATACACACAGATTGCCAGACAAGATTGCTTAGAATCTAGGTATAGCGACGAGGTTTCAAGAAGAAGAGGAAGAGAATGGCGGCGGGCGGGGTCAGGAATTTATCTGGACTCGAGAGGCGATTTGCTTGGTGGGGCTAAAAATTCACGAGTGGAGGGGTCTTAGGGTGGGTTAGGGTCTGCCGCTGCTTGCCGCCTTCCAACGCATGAATGAGAATGCGGCCAAGTCACTCGATAGCAGGAGAGAAGTACCTTTTTTATCGACCAGGCTCCCTTGCGAAATTTTATTTCCACAACACCACCTCGGTCGACGTAATGGTATCGTTGTGTGTTCTGCCTCTTCAAGTATTCATTACGTGCTGAAAAGCAAATACTGCGTATTGCTCCCCTGTATCATCGGAGCTGTCGAAATAACAGAATCGTGTTCTTCGCTTTTCCATCTTTCCACCCGCAAGCGCACCAAGTAACTCAGCTGATTTCTGTGCTCCTGGAAGCTCACCTTGAGCTTAAGGTTGTAGTCTGCCCCGCGACAGCCCCTCCAGAGTTACATGCAGCGCGATGACCAGATACTTGATGCAAGAGTGTTTGGGCCTCGCTAGCGTCGTTGTTTCACAGCCCAACCACAGCAACGGGAGAAATCTTTTTTTCCTCCGGCTTCTTTGTCGAGCGCGCGTCTTGAAACCTGATACCAGTTCGGCCTTACTTTAGGCTGTGAGTCCTGCGAGTCCTGTGACCTTGGTGTCTCGGTTCAAGCTTCAAAAGTCTAAACGGCGTGAGTCACCCGAGAGAGAGAGGCATCTGGCATGTTCTTGTTGTGTCTCCGAGATGCTAGACGGCTGTCACCGCCAGAGCACTGAGGCCGGCCGTCTAAATTGTGGCAATGTCATTGGTCTTCGCGCCTCGAGACTCTCTCAGCCGTGAGGATCGGCTATCTCGACTGCATGCAAGTACGCTAAGCAGGCTAGTTCTAAGGTGGCCCTGAAGCACAGTCCATTGTGGCGTTACCGGCATGTCCTTCGTCTGTGTCGACATGTTCAGGTCGTTCTTGATACCAGTGGACATGCCATTTAAAGGAAGAAATAGTCACACCACTTAAATACCAGTCAGCCGAAGTTTTTGGGTTACTTGCTTCGAAATGATTGAGCGTCGAGGCACTTAGCATGTCAACAATGGCCAACGGTGTCCGAGCTAACATCTCTTGTGGCAAAGCCTCTGATGGCACTTCGCCACAACACCGTCTCTCTAGAGACAATCTTTCGGTCTAATAAGCTTTCCCTGCAACACGCTGCAACCGAGAAGTATTATGTACTATAGTGTATGCTCGCTCCAATGTCAAGGCTCAAGCTTTCTCAACCTGACGCCGGGTCTCGGCGTGGAGATCATCGTGGCGTCTACCGGCAGCTCCATAGCTAGCTTTCGGCCCGCCGGATCCTGCACATTCTTCGGATCATATCGATGGAACAACAAGTCCCATGGCTGGATCGCCTCTTCTGCTCCCTTCATATCACCACTGCCGGAATAGCTCATAATCGCCGGCCCGTGCCGCACTGCGCGTGAAGACACCACGTGATAGAGGACGGGCTATGTCTGTACAGCTTCTGTGTTGTCGTCGAACATCTATGAGTTTGTCTGTTAAAAGGTTGAATAGCATATGACAGTCCTAATAATCTGGAAGCTTAGGGATGACACAATCCACATCCAACACTTGCCCGGATATGCCTATGCTCGTCATCTCTCGTCGTGGAGATCATGCGTTCTCAAGTGCTCTTGTGTACCGCGGTACAATATTTCGCCAGAGGCGAGCGAGTACTGCTCAACGGTCCGTTTTCGGGTAACCTATGAGTTTGTGAACACGAAGACTTCAGACCTTGAGCTGCCTAAGGGCAAGCCCACTGAGGCTGGCGTCTCATATCTTGTCTTTGGCGTGGGTCCTGATGCCACTGGAAGATGTGAGATGCGCAGCACACACATCTGTCGGTCAAGTTCGGGTGTTATTGTTTGTGAAGGGTGTTGGCCATGCATTTGTGTCATGGACTCGACACTGGAGCTTCCATGCAGGCGACTTCACCAACTGGCCCTAAGAAGACAGGAAGGCAAGTGATTGACGATGTGAGCTTAACCAGGACAGTGTCCCCGGTTGGTAGAGCAAGGTCTGGAGAGCTGAGGGGATGGCTGCCACTCTGTCCACTTGTCGACTCTCCACTTCCCGTGCCTTACACGCAGTGGAAGAAGTCAAGCTAAGCAGG